TGTGTGTGTGTGTGTGTGTGTGTGTGTGTGTGTGTGTGATGTGAAAACAGAGGACAACTTGGGGGAATTCAGCCCTCTCTTTCCACTGTACAGTCACAGAGATTGAATTCAGGCTGTCAGGCTCAGTGGTAGGCGCCTTTCTTTCTAAGGCATCTCCATGAGGCTTGTTTTTAACCTGAAAAGCTTCTAAGTGAGACGTCTACAGAACCTCATCTTTCATGATTTGTATTTATTTAAAAAGTTTTGGAATATGGTTTGGAGTTCAGCAAATAGTTTATGAATGAGGCAGATAAGACCCACCCCCAGAAGGCAAGAGATTTTTCCCCAAAACCATATACTTGGTAAATGAAATCTCTGGGTTCCGAGGCCATTGTCCTTCCTCACTGTGGTTAAAGAACAGTAGCCCTTTTGCTATGCTAAGTCTTGTTTCTGAACCAGCATGGCCAGCCTCACCTGAGAGCTTCTTAGAGATGCAAGAGCTCAGGCTGCCTCCTCTGTCACACACAGACACAGAGCTCTGTGCGAGCAGGTCCTACACTTTAGCCTCAGCTCCCCATCAGCCACCACCACATCAACTATACTCCGTTCCCACTCAGCTACATGACAGTGATCACCCAGACACACCAGACTGGCTTTCTGCTTTCCTGGATTTGCGCATGTCACTGGACATTGTCTTGTGTATGTATAATGTGTGGGTATGTATATGTGTGTGCACTCAGGTATATGAGTGTATGCGTGTGTATGCAAGTGTATACAAGTGTTTGCAAGTGTATATAAGTGTATGCAAGTGTATGCATTATATGCAATATATGCATGTGTATGCAAGCATGTCCAAACTATGCTGTGTATGTGGAGATCAGAGGACAAACTGGGACTTACACCTTGTTTGGGATGAGGTCACTTTGTTGTTTTCCACTGCCCATGGCAAACTAGCTGGCCCATGAGCTTCTGGAACTCTCCTGTCTCGGTCTCCTGCCTGGGATTACAAACTTACACTTTTATGTGGGTTTTGGATATCTGAAATCAGATCTTTATGCTTGTATGAAAAGTATTTTTTTTCTCACTGAGCCATTTTCCTAGCTGCAGGCAAGGTCTTTAACGTCCACTGTAAGAAGAGTAGAACATTTCTCTCTTGGAAGCCTTGCCACACTGAATGATATTCCTTTTCCATGATTTAATAATACTTGACCAATATATTTTCTGGATTTTCTCGCTTGGTGATGATCGTATTTATCTCCTTGAAATGAAGGAACTATTCCCCAGTTAGCAGATTGTCCCGGAGGTAATGAAGAAGAATGGACTAATATAGAGACAAGAAATCTAGCCAATGTTTATCTAGAAGGAGCAGTAACGTGTAATAGCTGTAGGCTCATTTTTTTTTCAAATATAGACAAAACTGATAGATTTTTGGCTGACCTAAGGAAAAAGAGAGCAGACTCACAACAATAAAGGGAAGAGGGGACATTGCAGCTGACACCACAGAAATATAAAAGGTAATAACAGACCTCCATGAACAAGTAAGTGTCAAAAATTAGATGACCAAAAAATAGATAAACCCATAGAAACATACTATTAAGACCAGATCGCAAGGAGCAGGAAATCTGAAGAGACTAAAAATTAGTAGAGATTGAATCAGTAATCAAGTACTTGTCAGTACAACAAACCTAAGACTTGATGTCTTCACCGGTGAGCCCTACCAAATAGCTGAAGAACTATTGGCAATATTTCTTAAAGTCTTCCCTTAAAGTTTAAGCATCTCCAAATGCATTTTTATAAAGCCAACATCACTGTGATGCTAAAACCAAGCATATGCACTCTGAAAGCTGAAAAGAAACTCTTTATTTGCTGGCTAGCCACTGAATGGAGGAACTAGCCCAAATCATGTAACCCTGAGCTGTACAACTCTTGGTGTTTTATGTACCAAACCCACATCCTTGTTAATACACTTCAGCTAACAAGAAAAGTTAGAAAAAGGCAAAACTAAAGAAGCTAAAAAAGCAAGGTTAGTACATTTAGGGAGTCTCTCGGCCATATCCTGGAACCAGTGACCTAGCCTTTATTTCTGGTTTGGCAACCGTTGCTTGTAGATAGAAGTTTCTGGTCCTACAGCCATTCAGTCCCAAAGAAATATACAGAGGGTTATATTAATTACAAACTGTTTGGCCTCTTAGCTCAGGTTTATTATTAATTAGCTCTTACAACTTAATTAAATTTTTGTCTGTACTTAGCCACATGGCTTGGTAACTTATCTCAGTGCGGCATTCTTATCTGACTTCTTCTGCAATTGGAAGGTGGCTGCAGACTGAGCCTTTCCTCTTCCCAGAATTCTCCTAGTCTGGTCACCCCACCTATATCTCCTGCCTGGCTACTAGCCAATTGATGTTTTATTAAACTAATATGAGCGACAAATCTTTGCAGTGTGCAAGAGCATTATCTCACAGCAATTGCTGCCTGTGTGCTGGGTCTCAAGGCCTGAACAATGCTTCTATCATGGAGACAATTGTGCTAAAGCCTGGGGGCTTGCTACAGCCAGAGAGAGAAAACTCGAAGAAGATTATTATAGGTAAAGTCCCCAGTAAGCATTTATACAAAAATCATCAACAAAATATTACCAAATAATCACCAAATCAAATACAATTGCAAATTTGGAAGATCATACAACATGATCAAGTGGAGTTCCTTTTTTTCTTGCAATACAAAGACAGTTCACTATTTGTGTCTTAGGGTTTCTATGGATGTGATGAAACACTATGACCAAAAGCAACTTGAAGAGGAAAGAGTTGATTTGGCTGATGTTTCCACAACCATAGTTCATCACTGAAAGAAGTCAGGATAGAAACTCAAACAGGGTGTGTACCTGGAAGCAGGAGCTGATGCAGAGCTGTGGAAGGGTGCTGCTTACTGGCTTGCTGTCCATGGCTTGCTCAGCTTGTTTTCTTATAGAAACAAGGGCCACTAGCCCAGGGTAGCATCATCCACAGCTATCTGGACCTTTCCACATCAATCACTAATTTAAAAATGTATCACAGGTTTGTAACCTTACAGACTGATCTTAGGGAGGCATTTTCTGAATTGGGTCTTCCGTCTCTCAGATGACGATAGCTTGTGTTAAGCTGACATAAAGCTATCCAGCACAATGATTAAAAACTTAAAGCTGTCAGGTGAAGAAGGAATGTACATCGCCGTGTTAAAAGCTGTGAGTGACAAGCCCTGAGCCAGTATCATGCTTAATAATAAAAGCTTCCTAATGAGACCAGGAGTGAGGTCAGGAGGACGCTCCACTCTTCAGTTAGGACTGGAATATCCCAGTGAGAGCATTCAGGCAAGAAAAATAAAGCCATCTCAATTAGGGAGGAAGAAACAAACGTGTCTGTTTGCTGATGATATAGCCCTATAGCAAATAAATAAAATAAAATTAAAAAACCTAAACACCATAAAAACAACCCGTTATAACTAGTGAATAAATTCAGCTAAGTTGTAGCATGGGGAATCCACACGCAAAAATCAGTAGTGTTTCTGAAATATGTGAAGGACCAGCTGTCTGAAAAAAGAAATTAAAACCATTGCCATTTATATAGCATCAATAAATACTTAAGAATACATTTAAGCAAGGAAATAAAAGAACCACACACTAAGCTATAACACCCTGAAGAATGTTGAAGAAGATACAAGTGTACGATGTCTCTTGTCCATAGACTGGAAGAACGGACACTGTTCAGAATCCTCATACTACAATCCTTATCAAAATCCCCATACTACCCAGCATGCAATCCTTATCAAAATCCCAATGGCATTTTTTTTCTCAGTGTTAGAAAAAATATAAAATTTGTGTGGAATACAAGGCACTGAATAGCCAAAGAAAGCTTGAGCTAAAGGAACAAAGTTGATGGCATCACACTACCCAACTTCATATATGTTTCAAAACTATAGAGATGGAGACAGAATGGTACTGGGACAGAAAGAAAGAATCAGCGGAAGAGAATCATGACCTAGCAATAAAGCCACAAATTTAGGGTTGGCTGATCTTTTAAATATGTATATTTAGATTCACCTAATGCGTACGGTGTTTTGTCTGCATCGATGTCTGTGCACCACATATGTGCCTGGTGCCTGAGAGGCCAGAAGAGGGTGTTGGGTCCCCTGCACCTGGAGTCACAGATGGTTTTGAGCTGCCATGTGGATGCTGGACATTGAACCCAAGTCCTCTGGAGGAGCAGCCAGTGCTTTTATGCACAGAGGCATCTCTTCAGTCACATGGTGGGTCTGTCTTTGGGAAAGATGCCAGTAAAATGTAACAGGGGATGGACAATCTCGTGAATAAACAGCGTGGCGAACACTAGATACCCACATGCAGAGGAGTGAAATTGGACTCATCCCACATCGTTATAAATTATATAACTAGAAGTCCAAACACTGTAACGTGACAACTCTTGCTCACGTGTGTGTGCATGCCAGTCGATGCTGTTGCCAATGGCTGTTTTCACATTTACATTATTTTGTCCCTTGGCTATGTTTCCTGTGCAATTTACTCTGGAAATTCTCTCTTTAAACACCACATCTCAGGTGAGGTCCTTTAAGGTACACCTTTCCTTGTTTCAAAGCAAAATTCCGCATTTTCTCATCTATAGATTGTGAGGCTAAAATGGAGGCCTTTGGAATGGTGTTACAAACCTAATTTCAGTTCATCTGTGTTGATGTGAATACATGTGAAGCTGGACAGCTTATTGCTTCATTTCAATAGCAGCAACTGTAGAAAATCACCTGTGGAGAGTTTCTGATTTGCCGTGGGGATCTTGTTCCATCCCCTTTTTCATGGGGTTGACATGGGACTTCTAGGATGGGTAAAGTGTCCATTGGGTGACGTGCTCGTGACCAGCATCTGGCTGTTCTCTTCAAGTCTCACATATTCCACTACAGAGCCTGAGGGTGCAGGAGAAAGTTACTAAAACTCTCTAAAGCCTTGCCTCCTTTTGTTAACCCCCCTTCTTTCTTCTTCACAGGGCTGATAGTCTACCTAGGAATGATGGCAGGAGCCTTCATCCTGGGGGGTCTGGCTGATAAACTGGGAAGGAAGAAAGTCCTCAGCATGTCCTTGGCCATCAATGCCTCTTTCGCCTCCCTCTCCTCCTTCGTGCAGGGATACGGAGCCTTCCTCTTCTGCAGACTCATCTCAGGCATAGGGTATGCACTGTTGTCCGCTGTAAGTCCATCTCCTCTGGCCCTCTAGCTGCACGCGATACCTCGGGAAGCACTTGGATGAAGTGTTTTTGTTTGATTTTAAAGATGCTATGTTAAAGTTAAGAGCAGGCAAAATGACTCAGCGGGTAGAAGTGCTTGCCACCAAGCCTGATGACCTGAGTTTAGTGTCTAGAATGTACATGGTGGAAGGGAAGCACCAACTCCCACAAGGTTTTGCCTAACCCCTATGCATCGTGCCATGCCTTGTGTGTGCGCACACAGATCAATAATGAACAAACAAGCAAGTAAGTAAATGCAATAACTTTTCAAAAGCCCAAACAACCCAAGATTGCTTTCCAAATGGAGGGGAAGCCTCCTTGCTGGCCTCCTAAATGAATAGACTTTCATCACAGAGCCTAAATGTGCAGTAGAAAGTAATTTGATTTCCTTTATAACCTTTTTTAGTATATTACTTGATTGTCTCTTTCTGTTTTTTTTTCCCCCTTCAGTATTGGGGGCTCCCTGCCAATTGTTTTTACCTACTTTTCCGAGTTCTTATCGCGGGAGAAACGAGGTGAACACCTTAGCTGGCTGTGCATCTTCTGGATGACTGGGGGCATCTATGCATCTGCCATGGCCTGGAGCATCATTCCACACTATGGTGAGCCACTGACTTAAGATAGCTCCAGGTTCTCTGTTTCTATGGCAACTGCATCCAATAAAGACCCGACGTTAGCCTTATTCCCTCTCTCATACACTTTCTGCATGTGACCTTTTTTTTAGAAAAGAATTCATAATGTTGAATATAAATTGTTAATTTCAATTTAGAAATAACATCATCTCTTCCCCTCTTCTTTTCTTACTCTTTCTCCTCCTCCCCCCTGCCCTTTCCTCCTCTGTTAAATTTTCTTTGACTTATGTCTCGGTGTGTGCTCATGCTTGTATCTGTGAAGGTTGGAGGACAGCTTGGGAGAGTCAGTGCTCACGCAACCTTCATTTTCTCTAACCCTCTTCATTTCGATGAGTCAGGCTTTGGGAGTCCCATGTTATAGATGACAAATGTAAAAAAAAAAAAAAGTTGATAGAAATGGCTGACTTGCCCCAAGGTTACACACCCGAGAGGGTAAGGCTGGGAGACTGGTAGTCCTTAAGGCGTTGCCCACTTCTTGTGCATTTTCTGTTTTTTTCCTTTCTTTTTAGATTTTGAGTTAGCATATAAAACAATGGGTGTCCTTGCGGCATCTTCATACTTGTGTTATTGTACTTGTTCTTGTTAGCTCCCTCCCCTTGTTCCTTTTCCTTCTGCTGGCTGGTTTCTGTCCCCTAGTTAGTGCTCCACCCCAATTTATCATCACCTGTATTCCAATGCTCTCTACAGTCCCCTGCCTCCTTCAAGAGCTCTTCTTCCCTTCTCATGATCCACATACATACAAACATACACACATGCATGTAAGTACATGCATACACACATACACATACAAACATATGTGTACACATATAAACACATGCACACACATTTACTTTTCTCTAGTCACCTTTTTTCTATTTTATTTTTAATATTTTGATATTATAATTGCATTATTTCCCCTTCTCTTCCCTCCTTAACCCCTTCCATGTTCCCACTTGCCGTCTCTCAAATTCGTGACTTCTTTTTCTTTAATTGTTATTACATGTACGTGTTTCTAACTATATGAATACACCTTTTCAGCCCAAGTAATGTTACTTGTATATATATATTTCAGGGTGTATGTTCAGCCTATAAGAGAAAATACGAGTTCTTTATGTTTCTGACTTGTTTCACTTAATGCAAAGATTTATATTTATACCAATTCCCCTGCGAATGTTATTATTTTTCTTTATGAATACATAATTGCTGTTGTATATACATTCTACGTTGTCTTCATCCATCTGTTGATGGATGTAGGTTGATTCCATTTCCTGGCTATTGTGGATATTGTAATGATAACATGGATGTACAAGTGTGTCTGTGGTATGCCTACTTGGAGTCCTTTGGGTGTGTATCCAGGCCTGGGAGAGCTGAGCCATATGGTAGTTCTATTAGCGTTTTAAGGAAATTCAATCCTAATTTCTGTAATAGGCATTCACAGTAACATTTCCATCATCCGTGAATCAGGATTCCTCTTTGCCCACATCACTGTCAACACTTTTTTTCCTTGAATCTCAAAGAGATTTTAATTTGTGTTTCCTTGATGGCTGAGGACGTTGAACACATTTTCTGGTACTTATTGGCCATTTGTTCTTCTTCTAAGAACAATCCATTCAGCCCATTAGTTAACTGAATGATGTGGGTTTGTTGATGATTTCTTAACTGGATGCTTAATCATTGTAGTTCTATATATACCCTGAATATGAATTCCCTGTCTGATGTGTAGTAAAAAAGAGACTTTTACTTGGTAGTATTTTTCTTTTGTTGTGCCAAAACTTTTTTTTTTTAATTTTGTGTAACTCATCTGTCAGTTCTTAGAATTGTTTCCTGTGTTGGTGGAGTACTTTTCAGGAACCCCTTTCCTGTGCCCACATATTCAAATATTTTACCTGTTTTTCTCTGGAAGCTTTATGTGTTTCGTTGAAGTCTTTGATCCATCTTGAATTGACTTTTGTTCAGGTTGAGAGGTGTAGCTCCAGCCTCTAGAAGAAAACTGTGGAAATCGAGTTTTCCAAGCACAATTTGTTTAAAAGGCTGTCTTTCCACCGAAGCATGCTTTTGACATATTTGCCAAAAACAACGACAACAACAAAACAGGTTGTTGTAGATGGGTTGGATTGTTCCTGAGTTCTCTATTCTATTTTTATTGGTTTACATGTTTGTTTTTTTTTGCCAGCCTATGCTTTGTCACTGTGGCTCTGTTGCATGGTTTGAACTCAGGTATTAGGATACTACTTTGCTTCTTCTGGGTAGTTTGTGAATTTTAAGACTTTTTTTTAGTTCTATGTAGACTATCATTGGGATTTTAATTGAGACATCACTGAATCTGTAGATTTTTGGTAACAGTCATTTTAATGACATCAATTGCACTCATCTGTAATCAGGCCAGTCTTCTCCGTCTAATACCATCTTCAGATTCTTTAAGTTTTACAGTAAAGGCCATTGGTCTCCTTTGCTAAGTCTATTAATAGATATTTTTGAAGCTATCATGAATGGGATTAAAAAGATTCCTTCTTCATAAGCTTGTTATCGGGACATGGTAGCACTGTTGACTATTGTGGGTTGATATTTGTATGCTGACTCTGTGCTGAAATACTCCACTCTCATGCCTGATGTCATTCTTGTTTGTCCACAGAGGTGAAGCAGTTCACAGTCATTTGTTAAGTCAGGGAAATTATCCCCAACGGGTAAAAAACCCTGCAATCTCAGCAGAGACCTGGCAACATTAACTTTACTCACAGTTTTGCTGCAAGTTAAATGAGGGGAGAAACAGCAGTTTTGAATTTTATGAGGCCTTTTGAGTAGTCTGGTAATCTAGCATCCTTTGAAAGCTGTTTTTTTTTTTTTTTTTCCAAACTGTTGATTGATAAGTTGGGGCTCTGCAAGGCTGTGGAATCCTACAGAGCAGTAGGGAAGCACTGGCCAGAAACTCTTCTCTATGAGCCATTTTCTTGTTTTAAATCGGTTTCTGCTGTGTGTGCTGAGCTCAGGGAGGCTGATGAGCATCTTAGTGAGAAGCAGTTGCAAGGTTGACGATGCGGCCGTGTTAGCTGTGGGCAGTATTGGGCACATTACTGTGAGAAACTGGTAGACCCTGAAATTTCTGTGGTTTAGCACAGTAGAAGTTGCCTCCTCCCACATCAGGCTGACGTTTCTGGTTGGCAGGTGACTGTGCTGGATCTGCAGTTTGGGGGCTCACATCTCGCAGTTCCGCCCCCTCTCACAGAAAACTGGCAGCATGTTACGGCTTCAGTGATCAATGCCCCTCACGGGCTCATGTGGTCTGAACTGTTAGTCCTCAGCTGGGGCTGCTGTTTAGTAAGATTGTGAGCTCTTTGGTCATGGGCTCCAGCTGGTAGACATAGGTCCACGGGGCAGTCTAGGAGGTTATAGCCTGCACTCTGAGTTTTGATCTGAGAGCCAGAATCAAAGCTTTCTCCCTTTTTCTGTCACAGGGATACGGAAGGTAGCTCCTCAACCTTGAGGATCATGGGAAGTTCTGTGCAGGATTTTCAGGGCCAATCAGGAAATGGAGGGTGCCACCCCTCCTCACATTCCATTGTCCCCAGATCTGGGGTGTAACAAATGCAACTGCAAGGGGTGCTGGGAAACACAGGCCAGCTGGGAGTCTCGAAATAGAAGAAAGGGGTTTGGGAGTATCAGGCAATTGTGGCCATTTTTAATATTTGAGAGCTTACTCAATCTCATATCATTAGAAGCAAGGAGAGTTAGGGATAGGTCTAGTGAAGAAAAGAGGAGTTTCCTGGCAATTCTTCCATTAGGTCATTTTCCATGACTTTAGTTATGAAATTGCGTACTCCTAATGGAGGCTTCTCCATCCTTCGCCAGATGCATATGTTAATTTCCCACCAACTAGGTTATATGGTTCTGAGAATTAGAATTATTTTTATTTCTTTATTGATTTTAGCCACTATCCTTTCTAACACCACTCCCTCTGCTAACTGACCTAAATGTGCTCACACCGCAGAACGATTTCCACATTTATGGGAACTTAACTGGAAAACATTTTGGTTGGGGGCAAATCTGAATAAAAAAAAATAAGGATTCACTCTGAAAACAATCTGAATAAAATCTGGGTGACATCAGTGGTACTGTGCAGTCTGGGCCACGCCACCCCATCTTTGCAGCCCTGGGTCTGTCACTCAAAACACAGGAGAGAGACGTGATAAGAATTCACGGCACACTCCCCACAGCCCGCAGGACGGTGACTCCTGGGGTGCACACAGTGTGGAGAAGATTGTCCAGGTGACCTTAGTGCCGGAGCCAGCTTTTTTCCTGGAAGCAGTCACCATTATAACCCATCTGTTTACAGAGGACATGGGCAAAGGAAGCGTGTCCTCAACTCAGACAGGGAGCAGAGAGAGGCCGTGGCGTCCTCTGATTGGATCAGCGTAAAACCTGTTCTCCTCTCAACTGGTTGCTGTACACTGGAAGATGCGGGTCCTGGATGGGTGAGAAGTACTTCCTTCCTCACCCATGGAATGGCTGGGGCCTTGGTCTCACCCGTGTCATGTGTCTGCCACACAGTGGGAGACGTGGGGAAGAGAGGGCAAGAATGGGCGCTGTAAGAGAAGAGGTGAGCTGAGTGATCATTACCACCTGCACAAGTTTATAAATCTTCACACACACACACACACACACACACACACACACACACAGAGACAAAAAAAAAAAACCCTGAATGCCTGGTTTATTTTGTTGTTGTTGTTGCTGCTTTTAGACATGATTTTACTTTGTGGCCCTGGCTGTACTTGAACGTGTGGCAGCCCTCCTGCTTCTGTCTCCTAACTGCTAGGATCACAGATATGCACCACTAACAGTCTGGTTTTTGAGACTTTAGTGAAAAATTGAGGTGGAGAGCAAATGAGAGGCCACATAGAAGGACCCTGTGGGTGCTATCTGGTCACTACTGGCTGAGAGCAGCACTTGGGGCTAAATACTACACCCCAAATAAATGGGCACCTTCTTTATTCATATGCCTGTACTCAATCTGTGACTTTTATACTCCAATTTGAAAGTCGATGTTTAATCAAAGCCAGCAACGACTTAGAGGAAACTATTTGAGAGACATGGACTGGTAGAATCAGAATACAACAAAAGCATTTGTATACTTTAAGCATCATTTTACCAGGACCAGATGTCTGACAGACAGTGAACAGATATTTGATGGTGTTTGTCAATACATCTGAGACATCAGTCGTCTAATCAGTGCGAAGGGTGGATACAGGAAGGAGATTGATGCTCGCATGTGCCTTGCTTGTATAAATCATTTAGTTGCTTCTATAAGAACGAACGAAAAAACAAAATAAATAAATAAATAAATAAATAAATAAATAAAAGAACGAATGATGGGAGTCTTGGCTCTCGAAATTTGGGCGACCAGTTCACCGAGAGAGAAAATGACAAAACTCAGAGTCTTTTGTTGTTGTTGTTGTTGTTTGAGGACTCATGGGGACAGCCCCGGAAAAACTAAAACCAAATGGGTATACAATGGAAGAGTGGCTCTCATTGAAATCATCCCCGCCAGATGTTTGTGAAATCCTGACACAAAAGAGTAGGGCAAGCGGAAAGATCAGCCAGCAGAACACTCCCCGCTTCTAAATTAATATTGTTTCAAATATTTGGAAGCAGTTCATCCCTGAATTCTATTCTATTTAAGGCCCCAAAGATGTGCCTCATGGATCACAGAAGTGCGAGGGGATATTTCACACATATTATAATGAAGAAAAAAATCTTTCTGATGGAGGATGCTGTATAAATATACCAATGTCTGTCCATCTTTCCTGGTCCTCCATTTCAGTCTGGGAAAGTTTTCACCAACTTTGCTTCTAATGATGCCAGAACTGTGTTTGGACCTGCGCAGCGAATGTAGAAATACTGCTATGGTTTTATCTTCCCTTGGCTAGTGTTACTCCCAGGCGGAAGTAAAGGCTTTTTAATTAAAAATAAAATGAACGAACCAACCCCAGTGAGACAAGAAGAGACCAAGTTATGCAAAGATAAAAAGGCTTCACCCTATGGAATACACTTGATGAAGGGTGGGTGCCCTTGCTCTATGGGGTGCACTGGGTGAGGTGTGGGTACCCTCGCTCCATGGGGTGCACTGGATGAGTTGTGTGTGCCCTTCCTTGCTCTATAGGCGCACTGGATGAGGTGTGGGCGCCCTCAGTCTATGGGGTGCACTGGGTGAAGTGTGGGTGCCCTAGCTCTAAGGGTTACACTGGATGAAGTGTGGGTACCCTTGCTCTATGGGTGTACTGGGTGAGGTGTGGGTGCCCTTCTTGTAGTCAAATGTGCCTAAGGGGCCACATCTCAGCACCTGGACTCCTGCTTCGCTATTCATTCAGGTGTGTATCAAGTAGGAAAGTTTGTGGCACAGCAGATGCGGGTTCAAAGTCTACTGTGGAGAAACAACTTGAACCATGATGCATAAAAATCTTAAGATAATAAGCCTCCCACTACCCGAGCCAGCCATCAAGTGTTCGGTTTAAACTAAAGAACTACAAGTTTTGTATCCAAGTAGCTACTGCCTTCTAAATGTTAGGAGTGGGTGTATTTATTTCTCAGGCCTTATCTATTAAAACATTGATTGGGCTGTTTTTAGATAAGCCCCAGGGGGTATTGTTACCAGAGTCTTTGCTTCTCAAAAGTAATCCATCCATTTTATCCAGAGACTATGACACTAAATGTCACATAGTTAATTCTGAAAATGTTGACTCTAGTCTTGAAATAGGTACGTTATTATGGATTGTCAGGAAGGGGCATGCATAGAAAGCTTGCAGGAGACCATTGCCTGCATTCCGTAGCTGTGAAGACCCATTAAGATAAGACATGGTCAGGATTTGAACTCTGACCTATGTGACTACATAGTCCAAGCTCCTCTTCCCATCGAGCTGTATTGCTGCTCCTTAAAAGATGGGAGTTGGTTCATCACAAAGACATTAAAAATTAGAGCTTGGGTAAACTAGCACAGCCACTATGGAAATCACAGCAGAGTTTCTGCCCTCAAAAAAAAAAAAAAAAAGCAAAATAAAAGTAGGGATCTCCTATGATTCAGTTATACCCTTCCTAAATGTCTGCCCAAAGAAATCTAAGTTAGCATACTGTAGAGGTGGGTGCACATCTGGACATCTGCCCAGAGGAATCTAAGTTAACATACTGCAGAGGTGGGTGCACATCTGGATTTACTACAGCACAATTTACGGTAGCTGAAGTATGGAACCATCCTGTATGTTCATCAGCAGGTGAACGGATAAAGCAGATGTGGTGTAGATACAAAATGAAGGCTCATTCAGCCGCGAGGAAGAACAGAATTGTGTCCTTTGCAAGAGAATGGATGGGGTTGGAGATTATCATTAAAGTAAGCCAGACTCAGACAAATATTAGCTGTTTTATTTCATATGTACAGGATCGATTTAACTATGTACGTGTGACATGAATGTAGAAGGGGACACTTTGGGAAGAGAAAAGGGATCATAGGGAGGGGCACATGATGGGATATTGGGATATGAATATAGAGTGCCTGATGCTTGAATGAAAATGTCACGGTGAAACCCAGAGCTTCATGTGATGAGCACGAACACGCTAATAAGTCCTCAGAAATGCTTTCTGAAGGTAGCCTCTGAAGAAGAATCTAGCAACACTTTGCACAACAACAGCTGACAGGACCTACTCGCCTCCTGTTCCCATGGTAGGAGGGTCGTCTGAATGGAGTTTGGACATACACAGTCATGACATACACAGTCATGTCGGGAGTTTCCACTTCTCGCCGGGGTCACCTGGAGCTGGGGGAACCCTGACTCCTGAGGTACCAAGCTCTGGGTTGATGCTATCAGGGTCTCCTGAATTCCCATATCCCTCCCCTACTCCCGCCAGATCACACTCTGGGCACACAGACCCACTAGATTCCTGTAATCAAGACAAGAGTGGCCCTTTACACCATGCTGGTCTTTGGGGTGTGTCTACCACGTGGTATAGGGCTCTTTGCTCACAAGAAGGAGAAGGGCGTCCAATGAGAATGCCTTCTAGGCCACTGTTTGAGGTGTGCCAGTAGGGTATCTTCAGTTAACAGCTTGTTCACTCAGAATCCAGTGTCCATACAGGGCTGAGAATGTAGCTTCGTTAGGACAGTGTTTGTCCAGCATGCACAAGGGCCTGAATCTATCCCCAGCACCATATAAGCTGGGTATGGTAGTATATGCCTGTGATCCCAGTTTTTGGGAGGCAGAGGCAGGAGGATCAGAAGTTCATGATTAGGCTGGAGAGATGGCTTAGTGGTTAAGACCAGGGTTGGATTCTCAGCCCCCACCTAGTGGCTCACAACCATCTGTAACAACAGGGTATCTGCTACCTTCTTCTGACCTCCTTAGGTGCCAGGTTTGCATGTGGTGCACATACATACACGCAGGCAAAACACTCATGGACGTAAAATAAAAATAAATAAATATTTTAGATAAAGGTTTCAAGGTGATCCTTGACTAACTACATAGTGAGTTCCAGGACAAGTTGAGCTGTATGAGACCCTGCCAAAGAAAAATAAAAGATAGCGGTAAAAATAAGTCACTGATACTGATTCTCTCTGTTTCTTTTAGATAACGTCTCACCATGTAGCCCAGACTGACCTTGGACTTGCAGTAATTCTCCTGTCTCAGCCACCCAAATATTGAGATTATAAGCATGCACCCCATGTTTGATGGGATGTTGTTTCTCTTTTTCTCTTACTTTTTTCTTTTTTTAATTCTTATTATTTTTTTTTCATTTATTTTACCTACCTCCCACAGTTTCCCCTCCCTCCTCTGCTCCCATCCCCTTCCCACAACTCTCATCTTACCTCCCATCATCTCCTCCTCCATCTCCACTCAGAAAGGGGCAGGTCTCCTGTGGGAGTCAGCGAAGCAGCGTGGCAAGCAGTGGCAGCGTGGCAAGCAGTGGCAGGACCAAGCTCCTCCCCCTGCCAGGCAGCCCAGCGTGAGGAATGGGTTCCTAAAAGCCAGCTCGAGCGCCAGGGACAGGTCCTGATCCCACTGCTAGGAGTCCCACAAACAGACCAAGCTACACAACTGTCACACACATGCAGTGAGCTTGGGTCAGTTTCCTGCGGACTGCCTAGCAGTCAGTCCAGAGTCCATGAGCTCCCACAAGTTCAGGTCAGCTGTCTCTATGGATTCCCCTGACATGACCTTGACCACCCCTCCCTGGCTCATAGAATCCTTTTTCTCTCTTCAACAGAGAGACCTTGTTTTTTTTTTTTTTCTTTCTATCTGTACATTTATATAAGGTTCTGTAAGTGCCAGGTAGGCCCAGGGCTCAGGGGTTGTCAAGATGCAGACTTCCAGTTCATCCCAGACCACCGGGGAGCCTGCATTTTTCGGCAGCGTCTTCCAAAAGGCTTGCGTGTCCTTGAGACCTAGTTCTTCTGTTTCATCTACCGCGGGAAGCCTGTTCCACACACCTTCTGCTCCTTTGCAGGCTGGGGCTTCAGCATGGGGACCAACTACCATTTCCACAGCTGGAGAGTGTTCGTCATCGTCTGTGCTCTGCCCTGCACCCTGTCCCTGGTGGCACTGAAGTTCATGCCTGAAAGCCCCAGGTTCCTGCTGGAGGTGAGTCTCCAGCGGCTGCTGGAGCCCTGGCCTTAGTCACTCAGTCCCCAGCTGCGTGTTCTCTCCTCGTCTCTCGCTGCGCGCTTGCCCTTGTTTATGACCTTGCTTATTGCTAAATCTGGCGCCCTTCCTCTTGGTGACAGTGACAGGCCAGGGGTTGAAGCTCAAGGTGAAACAGGAGGGGACGCTCTCTCAGGGTAGGAGGGACAGCTCCTAGGTCACCTCCTCATAGAGTCCTGAATAGGAGAGATCCTTCATGTTTCCACAAGCTGTCCCTCCACCCGTGTGGCCCTAGTGAGCTCTTTGGTAAGTGATAATAACGTGTGCCATTTACCCCTTGACGTCACAACCTGGTTGTCTTTCCCACACAGGCTGGGGACTTGCTGTAGGGTGCCATAGTTGTCCCCTATGGCTAATGGGTCCATGTCCAATACTGCAGACCCGGTGCACTGTTTAGGGGTGTAGGGCTTCCCATCCCAACAAAAAGAAGGCATATGCAGCCATGAACTTTCATGTCCCTATCTTTGGATTTTCAGATGGGCAAACATGATGAAGCCTGGATGATTCTCAAGCAAGTCCATGACACCAACATGCGGGCTAAGGGGACCCCTGAGAAGGTGTTCACGGTGAGTGTGCTAGCCTGGACCAGCGAGGCACTTTGCCACTGTGTGTTGCATGGAGCATCAACTTTGTTGAGAGAAGAGTATTCGTTGAATATTTCTATCACTTTTATACCTGGAAGATCTCTTCATTAGAGTTATTCTTTGTATTTTGCATGTATATATGTGTGGGGGAGGTGCACATGTATGTATGGCTATGTGGGTACATGTGGAGGCCAGAGGTCAACCTCGGCTGTCTTCCTCGCCACTTTCCACCTTGCTTTGTTCGTTTGTGTCTAAACACAAATGGATCTCCACAAGCAGTTTAGGCTCGACGGTCAGCAAACAACAGTCTTCACCTGATTTTTACCTCCTTAGCATTGGGGTGATAAGGGCACACACAGCTTTCTTACTGTGGGCTCTGGGGAGTCACACTCATGTCCTCATGTGTGTGCAACAAACACTCTATTGACTAGCATCACCTCAGCATCGTCTTTGCACTTTAGTGGCTGTCTTTCTAGATTTTTCCTTAGGTAATGCTATTAGAAAATTTTAACAGAAAGAAAAACTAACTAGGGCTGGCAAGACGGCAAAATGGTTCCATGGGTAGAGGCGCTTGCATACAGCCTGATGACTTGAGTAGATCCTTGGATCCCACAAGGTTGTGTGAGAAAACTGACTATTGGGAATTATCCTCTGCTGTTCACATGTATGCATGCACTCATGCACACACACATGCATGCTTGAACACACACATACATGCACTCATACACACATATGCATGCATGAACACACATAGGCATGCACTCATACACACATATGCATACATGAACACACATACGCATGCACTCATACACACGTACGCATGCATGTGCACACGCACATATATGCATGAACTCATACACACATGCATGCACTCATACACACAGACACACGTGCACTCACACGCAATACACATGCATGCATACACACATGCATGCACGCACACACATGCACTCATATACACATATATGCATGCACTCATACACACACATGCAAGCATGCACACATACACACACACACAAGTATGGGGCTGGAGAGATGGCTCAGTGGTTAAGAGCAGTTGCTGTTCTTGCAGAGGACCGGGGTTTCATTTCCAGCACCCACATGATAGCTCACTGTAACTTCAGTTGTAGGGGATTAGATCCCCTCTTTTGGCTTCTGTGAGCACCAGGCATGCGTATGGTGCATACACAGACACAGCTGCAGGCAAAAGTCACCCCTGCGACAAAGTGAAAATGAGTGAATTTAGGACTACCTGTACTCCTATGAACAACAGCACACATGAGGATTTGGGTGTTGTATTTGGCAGTGTGCGCTATCGTTTTCAGTGCTGCCTCGTAGTCTTCAGAGCCATCGCTTCCCTCCATTAGCCTCTCATAGTCTGTTTAATGGACGATGCCACCATTTTAATGAATGTCAATGCTCAGAGCAGTAACACTGTTTTCAACATGCCCCTAATGTCAGAGGTCCATTTGCACTCTTTATTGCCTTGTTTCTATGAATATCGTTGTGATGAATCTTCTCCTTCATGTCCTTGACTGTCATGCTCTGCAGAAATGAAATTGCTGGCTCAACTGGTATTGAATTTTTATTATTCGTTTTATTTTTTGAGATTATAATATAATCACACACACCCATCCCCTTTCCTCCCTCCAAACCCTCTCATATAGATTTCTTTGCTCTCTTTCAATTTCATGGCTTCTTTTTTTTATTAATTATTATTACATACATACAATACATATACACATATATATTTCTAAATGCTTGGATACAACCTTGAGATGAGTTCTCAAGTTACATCTCATTAGAGTCCTGTCATTCTTCAAATCCATAAGTAGCAAGCTGCCCATCTTTTCCCCACCCTATCACCACTGGCTGTTAGCCTGGGTTTAGGAACCAGGAAGTGGTCATGTCCACGAAGAGGCCCCTTACAGAGAGATCTGTGCGTCTGCTTGCCATGCTTTGTAGCCACACCCAAGTAAAGCCTTGCTACAGGCAGCTCTTCACACCTGCACTTAGTAGGTCCATTCAGATCCACTTCCAATCCACTTCCTCTGAGAAGCCCTCCTGCGTGAGCACCCACCTAACTCCCATCCCCTAATGTCTCCTTGTTAATGTTCTACCTAAGCTTTGGATTCCCAGACAGCAGCACGTGGTAGCACACGGGTTCCCTCATGGGGAAGGAAGACAATGTGTCTGTGAAGACAGTTATTACAGAGATTAAACAAAGCACCCGAACACAGTGCCTGCCTTGGAGTATCATAAAATATTAACAGTTATGAAAAATGTTATGACATATATTTTGCATAAATTACCTCATTACAGTCTTTATAGAAAACTGCTTAATGGCATGTTGGCCCAGTTCTGATGCTCCTAAATTATTTAAAAAATGATAAGCATTTGGATTTACTTTTAATTTAAAAATCTTTATAAACACATATATTGTATATATTAGCAACACCCCCTTTCTCCCCACTCCCCTTCTCTCTTCCCTTCCATTACTTCTGTTGGTTCTCCTAGATACTTTCCCTTGTTCTTTTCTGTGACCAATACCTTCATGACTAAAGTTTATTGTGAAGCACAAACAGCAGAAATACTGCAGATGAAGATGGGAAGGGTTGATGCCCCCCCCCAGTCTTCTAACCACACGCTCTCTGTGGACTGTGGTACCCAGCCAGGCGTTAGGGCGTTCTCCCTGTCCATGCCATCATTTCTGCCGTCCTCACCCTGCCCTGTCCCACAGCCTGGGCAAGAACAAGTTCCTGGTACATCCTGGGAGACGTTTCCATCACTTGTTCTGCCTCAGCTCTCCGAATCCATCTCAGCTGCAGTGGCTTTTGGACCACATCACCTGGTGTGGAGCACATGCCATCCAGACAGCCACCTGCATCAAGCATTTGTGAATTCAGCGATGTTATTGAAAAGCTGATGATAATGGGAATTATATCAGAATGCACAGCTTTGCCTTTTTTTTCTTCTAACCCTGTCCCTTCTTTACCACTTTTTGTGAATGAATCTTCTCCCCTTCCCCTGCCCACTCCCACTATGCCCCGCATGCTCCAAAACAGGAAAACCTCCTGGGCTCATGCATGGCAAGCTACTGGTCTTTCAAGTGTGAGTGTGTCTCTGGGATACACTATAGTGTATCCTCTATAGCTCTTAACAGATTTATCACAACTAGGGACTCTCCTAAGAGGTGTCATGATAAAAGTTCCTCTCTACCCCGTGTCTGTGTGTGTGTGCATGCATGTGTGCGTGTGTGTGTGTGTATGTGTGTGTGTGTGTGTGTGTGTGTGTGTGTGTGTATCTTCTTATGCTTGGTCACCTTTCACACAGAAGCCTCTCCCAGGGCAACCAGACTATGGCTTCTGTAAGAATACTTCTGAAAAACTAGCTTGGCTTCTAAGACTGGCTGTCCTTTGTAGAAAAGCGATCCCGCATTGTCACTTGAGAAAGAGCAAAGAGATAAGCTCTGGCATGTTTACAATTAGACTTTTATCTGAACAGAAGAGATTTGTGAGTCTGCAGCTCCAACCCTGAGGTGGTTGGGATGCTGCTGTGGGAGTTCAGGGGAAAGCTTTCTCGGGGAGATGTTGGAGCGTTCTGCTAGTTTCTCTCCTCCTTCGAGGAAGTCCAATGAGAAAAGCAGCAAGCACTCCAACATCTAAAGGTACAAACTTAGCCGTTTTCATTAGGACCACTCTTTATGTCAGGGATGGGAGCACACTGGGAAGAAAGTCCATGGAGGGGAATGCAACAGGCTCTCAGATGCCTGTGCATCTGAGATCACCCCAACACCTATGCCACTCCCGAGACCGGAGGACTCATATCTGCTTTTAGTGGGTTTTGCCTAGCTGGAAAGTGGGACTAAAAGGCTCAGTGTTCCAAACTGCCTTGTTGGTCATGAGCTTGCTGCAGTGAATAGCTGGATCATCCAAGAAAGAGGGAAGGAAGGGAGACGGAGGGAAGGAGGGCAGAGGGAAAGAAAAAGAGAAGGGGAGAAAGAGAGAAGAAAGATGGGAAGGGGGAAGAAAGGAAGCGAAAGAGGAAGGGGAGGGGGAGGAGAAGGTGGAAAGAAGAGGGAGAAAGGGGAAGTGGAGGGGAGGGAAGGAAAATGGGAGAAAGAAACAGAGAGCTGATTGACCTCAGGCGGCTGGGCTCACCTTGGCCGTCAGTAGGTGGTGCACACTCAGCCCACTGGACAGGGCCACCAGCTGGTTCCTGTGTGTCCCCTAAGCACTCACAGTGCACTCTGCAGCCTAAGAAGGTCAGCTCTGAATCTGTGAGGCTGAGCACCCACCCCCGACTGACCCGAGCTTTACAGCTCTGACATACTCTCCCATGTGTTCAGACAGCCACAGCCAGAAGCTTTCCCTGTAGACAAACCTCTGGAGGGTCAGGACCTTGGAGCATTCTGCTAAGAGCTTGTGTTCTGCAGGAGAAACAGGAACACAGGCCATATGCTGTTCTCCGTGGCACCAAAGAGAGTGTTCTAATTAATTGTAAATTACAGCACTTGCGCTTCAAATCAACACGCCCACTCTCTAGGACTGGGAACAGGGTGTTGTTTCCCCAAGGAGCAAAGCAAAGAAAATTTACACCATAGTGACTACTTTGATGATTTGGAGTACAATTTATTAAGGGGCTTTCTAACCCGGTGGCACCCTTTCCCTTTGGCCTCCTCCGGCGATAACAGGTGCTGTGATGCCCATGGGGCTATTTGATGATTTGAAGCCCTGTTCCATCTGCTTCCGCCGAATCCTTCTGCTGAGACTCCTATGACACTTGCCCAGTTTCCCTGGCTAACCCCAGAACAAAGAGCATTTTTCAAGGCTGTGCAGCCGGGAGGCCCAGACTGCACAGATGTGACCGTCAGCACATTGTTGAGCAGGCGTCTGGCCATCCTGAAGGTTGCCCAGCTCCATCTGTGTTTCTCTTATACATCTTCACACTCTCAGTTCATTGGCTGGAGAAAGAGATGGAGAACTCGGATCTGTTTTTTTATCTATTCAAATGCTTTCTTAGAGAACAGATAAAACTGCTTCTGAGTTTTTTGAGCACACTCCTCTTCTGGTCCTGTGACTTTGGGGGGAACGTCGGCCTTGTGGACCTGGATAACTCCACTAAAGTGGTTTGCATGGTCAGGAACCTCCTAAGCACTCACTGGGTCTGCAATCCAATGGTCGGTTTAAGGATCATGTTTCTTGAAAGTCTCTGTTTTAGTGAGTGAGGGTTGTTTGTGTTGGGCTTCCCATGTTTTTCATGTCCTTGAGCGGAACACACTTTACCTGACTCCAAAACTCATTTGTACCAAGGAAGCTGCGATGTCATGGCAACCGCGATTCCTCTCATTCTGTTGGGTTTTTCAAACTTCTTAAGTAGCAGCATCTCTCCCCGACACTGTTGCCAGGCTGTATTCCAAACTTCTGTGATGGTTACTCATATACAAGGGTGAATGTTAAGGCAACACCATCTCAGTCAGTCAACATATTATGATCCCGGTAATAAACATTTCTTAATGTCTTGATTGGCCTGATTTACTGGGAAAATTCTAGTTCATTTTGCTTGCAGTCAGACATGTCCATGTGGGAAGGTTCACTCTCATGCAAATCTTTGATTTAAAATCATAACTAGGGGGCTAGGCAAATGCTTTTTGAATAATAAATAATTCAATAAAGCCAACTGCATTAAAGTAAACATTGACAAGAAAACAAAGAGAAATGGCATTGAAATAGCCACATCTGTCTTTGTTTTCCAGGTTTCTCACATCAAAACACCCAAGCAAATGGACGAATTCATTGAGATCCAGAGTTCAACCGGCACTTGGTACCAACGCTGGCTGGTCAGGTTCATGACCATTTTCAAACAGGTACACTCTGTGAACATGCACAAGAGTCTGTTATTTCAGTGGGTGAAGAAGAAAGATGTCACAAGCATCCTTAAACTAAGGCAACATACAGAGAGCAGGCAGCTGCGAGGAAGGTGTCTGCTCCATGCAAGGCCACCTCCAAACTTGCCCTGTGCCTAGAGATGTCCGTGCTTTAAAGTGTGGTGTCTTTGCCTTGCTGTTCTTCCTGGTTTTGACAGCCGAAGCAAGCCTCCTCCTTCCCAGCAACTTCTCTTTAAGTAACCCACAGCAAGGAAGACGTGACAAAAATAAAGGACTCTGGGATTTTAAATGACTTTGGAAAGTGATTCTGTTTTGCCAGGGGTCTTTCAGGCAAGGATCAAGCCAGTCGTTGAGTGGGTAGCCAGCTAGCTTCTCCTGAGACTCAGTGGGTCCGTGCTTTATGGGAAATAAACATTTAAAGTGTTACTCTGCCCATGGGTTGTGGGGTGGAGGTGGGGTGGGGGTGGAATTGACTGCTACAGGTTGCTGAATGCTTTGGAGCCCAAACTCGGTGTGCTTTTGGTCACATGTACCCAAATTCCATGTTCCTGGGGGAAGGGTGAGGGAAAATTACAGGACAGTTGATGTTTAAGGCTAGCCGGAAAGAAAGGATGGATTTGCCTTGTTATGTAGACAAGGCTTCTTCCTTTAGGAGAAGGTGGGCTGCCCACTTCTTCTGTGATGTCTTAGTTACTTTATTAGCAAGTCTGAGGGATATGCTCTCTCTGTTGCCAGTCCCTGGCTTTAATTGTCCTTCTCTGGTATGGGTCTTAGATCTGGGACAACACCCTGTACTGTGTGATGGGACCCTACAGAATGAACACCCTGATTCTGGCAGTGGTCTGGTTCACCATGGCGTTAAGGTAAGTTCCACCTCACGCCAGTCCCTCCGCAGCCTGGTTTGTTGATGGAGGCTTATAAATTGGCCAAGTGCAGTTGGCATCAGGGTAGATGTTTTGGATCACACATCACGAGCAACCCTGTCTAGTGGCTTCTGTGAACAGAGACCTCCCTTAGGCCAACAAAAATCCTCAGAGCAGTCAGGAGGAAGAGGCGGTCCAGCCTCAGGGCTGGTCTTGCTGGGACTGCAGAATGCCTGAAGGCTTCCTGTGGACTAAACAAGAGTCTGAAGGAAGGAGAGGCTGACTCTTTTGAGCTTTCTCTTCCGTCCATGCTGAGGTATAACTGGCAAATAGGAAATGCGTGTTTAGAGTGTACAGCTTAATTCTTCAATATACAAAAGCGTCATGAAATAATCAAGCTAACGGTAACATGTATCACCTTGATATCATCATCTTCTTCTCCTCCTCCTCTTTTCCCTCCCCACTTAATCCCAATGCTTTCCTCCTTAGCAGAGTTCAAGTAAGCACTGATTGTCGGTTGTGAACTGATTGTTAATGTTAGCTGTAATTGTTAATTACTGAGCTTCTGGGTTTTTTAAAAACCAATGGCCGTTTTCTCAGAAACCCCTGAGCCAACATTTCCTTTCGTCTTAGTAGACAGATGGCAGTCTCCTCTCCCGTTACTAAGAAAGTGAGACTGGTCTGTTGGTTTTCACTCGCTTGGATTCACCCCCATGCTGAAGACGACTGTACTTTCCTGAAGGCTGATGTCTGAATAAAGTTTCAGCTCCTGCCCTACTGTGCCCAACGATACAGAAAAACAAATTACAAAGAGCTGCAAGTGGCTCTGGTCTTAAACGGCAGGCTGGTACCCCAGACAGTTCTTGTCTTCAGACAGCATCATCTTGCTCCCTAGGTGGGCTCTGGAGGGCACGTACAGCACGTAGAGCTGTTCAGCTGTGTGCACAAAGAGTAGCTGCTACACAGTGCTCACTTAGCAAGATTGTAAACTTAGATCCGTGAGATTGCTTTGTTCTACAGCCTATGGCCCCCTTAGCCCCAGGAAGGCAATGGGCTCTAGTGATCTCTTTGATTACGGTGTGAATATGGGCAAATCTAACGTCATTTCAGTACCTGGGTGGAAGGGATGGACTCAAGCCTATTTGAATATGGAGGAAGACTGACCTTGCTACTCTCAAGTTACTCAGTTTCAACATTTCAGAAGCCAGATGTGGTGCGCACTAAGAGCCAACTCACAGGCAATTAATCAGTGGGCTTCATTTGTATTTATTTATGTTGAATGTAATTTACTTGAATAGGTAATACATTTCAAAAGTTGGAACGTTAGGGAAATCTTGCCTCCACTCCCGCCTCTCCCACCCACCCCCTTCTGCCTCTACTATATCATCATCTTTTATTTCCTGTTTATCACGCCAGTGTTCCCTTTTTTTAAACAAATGTAAGCAAATGTATGCAGATACCTGTAGATGTTTCCAAATGTCTATGTATATATGTGGGTGTTTCCCAAGATGTATGTATATATGTAGATATTTCCTGAGGCCTATGTATATATTGTAGATGCTTTCCGAGATCTATGTAGGAATGTAGCCATTTCCCAAGGTCTGTGTATGGATGTAGCTGTTTCCCAAGGTCTGTATATATGTAGATGTTCTCATGATCTGTGGTCTATGTATGTAACTGTTTCCCATGGTCTATGTATGTATGTAGCTTCTTTCCAAGGTCTGTGTGTATGTACAATGTGCCGATGTTTCTTTTTTCTTATTCGAAGGAAACCATTTTGCTTTTGCTCATTTTACTCAGTTATAGTTTCTGAATATCAATCCACACCAATCAGCTAGCGTTTTGTTTGCTTGCTTCCTTCCCTTTTCTCTCCATCTTCTCTCTTTTCTCCTATTCTTTTTTCCTTCCTTCCTTTTCTTTTCTTGTTTTGAGATAGGATTCATGTAATCCAGACTGACAGGAAATTTGCTATGTAGCTGAGAGTGTCCTTGAACTCCTGATCCTCCTGCCTCCACCTCCTAAGTGCTGGAATTACAGGCATACAGGCATGTGCTACCTAACCTGGACTTTCCTTCTTTGCAGTGAAATGATATGTCTGAGTTGTACCCCACACTACCCCATCACCCATCATTAACCAAGGCTCCCTTTCTAGACTCCTGGGAGGTGCCAGATTTTTGCTCTTGTAAAGAGTGCCACGCTGTCTAGTCCTGTGTGCAGGACCTTTAGGATAGGACTGTTTTGTCAGTGGACTAGATTCATGGATGTGTGATTCAAGGGTCAAAAGTGATAAAGCCATCAGAAATATTTTAGGCATTAGTAAGTTCTCCTCCATGTTTGCTTTTCTTGACATCAATAGAACAGAGCACCCTTTTTAGTGAGTCTAATGTTTCTATTGCTTTGAGTTGACATCTTAGGGTTTAGGGTATAAACTATAATATTCTAAAAGAGAGCTATTTTTACAATTCTATATTTCTGTGTTTGTTTCATGTGTAAATGTGGTGCATGCAGGTACGTTTTTATACTCTGGGTGTGTGCATGCGTGTGCACACGCGTGTGTGCACGCCAGACATTGAAAGTTGAGTGTCTTCCCAGATTATTCCCACCTCATTCGCTGAGGCAGGATGCCACACAACCTGGATCTTGCTGATTTGTCTGTCTACCTAGCCAGCTTACCCTAGGGATTCCCTGACTTTACCTCTCCAGGTGGGCCATCTTGTCTACCCAGCCTTTAGGAATGCAATGATGAAGATTTTATCCACTGAGCTGTTTTCAGACCCTGTTCCTATTTCTTTCTCTCATCTGACCAGGCTGGGCAAGAGCTGCTAAGTCTGTGGTGATGAGCATGCTGCCTTGCTCCTCACACTAGGTGGAACACCTTTAGTAGGTCCATTTTTACTACACTTCTGGCTTTTGAATTAATATGTTTTCTGTAGGTTAAAGAAGGGTCCACCAGTCCATAATCATTGGTAGTTGTTTTAAAATAGCAAATGAGTTTTTAAATCAATTTTCTTTTGTCTCTTAGATATGTTAATGTGATGAACTTTGTATTTTCAAATAATGATCAGGATTACTACATTAAGCCTGATCTACATTAAATCATCGATGCAGATTCTGCTGCTGAAGAAATGAGCCCTGGGCCTTCTCAGACCTCCTGCCTTCTCTCTTGCAGTTACTATGGCCTGACGGTGTGGTTCCCTGATATGATCCGGTATTTCCAGGATGAAGAATATAAGTCTAAAATGAAGGTGTTTTTCGGTGAGCATGTGCACGGGGCCACCATCAACTTCACGATGGAAAACCAGATCCACCAGCACGGAAAGCTTGTGAATGATAAGTAAGTGTGTGACCACGGGCTTTCCCTTGACCTGAGTGACGGTCCCTGGGGCTTCCCTTGGGAGAGAACGTAGGGAAGATGAGAGTTCAATGTGCTAAGGATGCGCTCCAAGGATAAAGTGGTCCTCACACCCATCCTGGCTGCTAGAGACACTACAGTCCCCCCATGATTGAATCTGTATTGCACTGACCCCCAACCTCCTCTCATCCCCTGACTATGAGATGACATTTGGTGGCGGGTGGCCAATATGGCCTTCTTTCCTGAGAACTTGACCCTTTGATGGAAGGGAACAGAAAGTCACACGCGATCATGGTGCCACGTTATCCGCTAGGATTCCCAGGCCCTCCTCTGAGCATGAACTGTGTTTAGCAAGCTCCCAGAGAGTGAGTGACTACGGGCTATGCCATTGAACCAGGAAATAAAGGACCCATGACTTTTAGTGCTGAGGTCTCTGAAACAATCTGTGGCTTGGCCATTGAGCTTTTTCTTTGATTTTGGAAACTTCTCTGTGCAAGGCTATTATGGAACTACCTTGTGTTAGTTTTCAGAAGGTGAACCGGGATGCTCTGTGGTCAATGGGAGCCTTGGCATCAGGAGAGAAATCAGCAGAGCATCAGAAAGGTTCTGCCTACATCTTTCTGAGGATGCTTCCTCAGTCCATCTGATGCATCTCTGTGGTCCTTGAAGAAACAAAACAGAGAGCTTAGCCCACTAATTTGCTTCTCTGAGGTTACCCTCTGGAGGTGAAGTGGTAGAGACAGGCGGAGCATTGGATAAACTTGCTCTGGGTCATATTGTTCTTCAAGGTGAGCATGGGTCCAATGAAGTCTGCCTGCTGGAACTGTAGCTAGCAAAGTCCCTGAGTTCAGTGGTGTGTGGATGACTGTAGGATTATGTCGAATTGCTGGAGACGTCGTGGGCTAGACACATCACTGTCAATGCCATAACCTCCGCGTTCATCACAATATAATATTGGTACCATCACAAGTCACTGGAGTACATGAATTATCACTGGTCACATAACTTCCCCATTGAGTTCAGCGTCATGGACTGAGTCGAAAGGACACCTTGCTTCTCAGCTTGTGTTATGCTGCCATCTGCTGGTCAAGAAGCGACAGTGCGTTTTTCCTTCAAAGCCCCAAGCTGTAACACCTGGGCATGTAACCTTTGTGCCAGTATTCCCCTGTGACACTATGCCCACATGGCTACTCTAAAATTTAGATGGCCATGATTTATTTTATTTACTAAAACACACAGAGGAAATGACTTCTATATAGACGGGCCTCGGACTTTCTCCATGTATTGAAGGTCCCACTGAAAGCTAACCCTCACCCCGCTGAGAAACCTATCTGCTTGACCTCAAGAAGAAATGAAAGCACCCAGACAATCACCCACTGACTCCTAATGCATCTTATGGGACACAGTGCTCTGAGGTCCGCATTTGGTTTACCCCAGAGCTTGTTTTTCAAAGCGCAGGAAAGGCAAGGAATTAAATTCATATTTTACACTCTTAGCCAAAGCGCCAGTTCAGGTTACCATTATCAGTAATTAAGAAGAGCAGCTCCCATCTGAGTGTGTGTTAACTAGGAACTGAGTAATTAGTGTGCCTCCTGCTGGGAGGAAGCCTTTTGGCTGGACTGGCTGGTGAAAGGGGCAGGCTTGGGGAAGGGCACCAGGGAGAACTTCCTGACTCCTGTCTGCCATAGTTCAGGGTCCTGGAAACAATGCCCTGATCCCCATCTTTCCTCACAGCACAAGGAAAATCAGGGCTGTATTCTGAACACTCGGGATTGGACCCGCAGTTGAATGCGTCACCGTTCACGCAGGTGATTTGACAGCGAGGAGCAGAAAGGCAAAGTCAACAGGGCTTTCATTAAAGGTCAGCTGTGGGCAGCTCAGGGTGAAAGCGAGGCTTGTGAGATTCACCTGTAAATGAGCGCTGCAGGAAGCAGGGAGAGCAGGGGCGGAGAGCAAAACAGTGCAATGAGCAGAGGTGGATCTCATGCATCCACGAAAGGTCCCCATGCTGTCAGGGCTTAGGAGCACATAGATGGTTTTTAACATGCAGTGTGGCTAATTTCAACACAGTAAAGTCCCTTACAAATGCCAGCAGTAGGTGGTGAGTCCAGGCACGTGCTGGGATGCACTGGGCTGTCTAGTTTGTCCTCACAGCTCCCACCTGAAGGTTCCAGGTCAGATATGGACCACGTATCAGATTACGAGCTAAAGCTTCTTAGTACAGTTTCTAGCTTTATGTGGGTCCTGTATAGTTCTTGCCAGAGTCTTTCTGGATACTTTGTGTTTTGGTTGGGTACTGAAAATGGGATTGTTTTCTCCCAATAAAATGTTTGCAGACATTATTGTAAACCGACTCTAAGTTGTCCTCTGCAGGCTGTGGCCCCCACATGCTCCCCCCTCTCTCTCACACACACACAAATTTAAAATGTACAAAGAAATATTTAAAAGTATAGAACAGTGGTTCTCAATCTTCCTAGTGCTGTGACCCTTAAATATAGTTCTTCATGATGTGGTGACCCCAGTCATAAAATTATTCTCATTGCCACTTCAAAGCTGTAATTTTGATACTGCTATCATTCATAATGCAAATATGTATGCTTTTTAATGGTCTGAGGCGATCCCTGTGAAAGGGTTGTTTAACCCTCAAAGGGGTTGTGACCCACAGGTTGAGAATTGCTGGTACAGGGAGAACAGATATTTCTTCTTTTTTTAAGTTGATTTTCTTCATTTCATTTTACATTCCAACTACAGTTTTCCCTCCCACCCCTTATCCCCAGCTACCCCCATCCACTCTTCCCAACAGGTAAGGACTCCCATGGGGTAGCAACACAGTATGACACATTAAGTTGGGGCAGGACCAAGCCCCTCCTCCCTGCATTAAGACTGAGCATAGCATCCCACCATAAGAAATGGGCTTCAACAATCTAACTCATGTACCAGGGATAGATCTGGTCCTACCACCAGGCCCCCCCCCCCAGGTAGTCCAAGCTTCACCACTGTCTCCCACATAAGGAGGGCCTAGTTCAGTCCCATGGAGACTTCACAGCTGTGGGTCTAGAGTTCGCGAGTTTCCATGAGCTTGGTTCAGCTGTCTCTGTAGATTTCTCCATTGTGATCTTGACTCCCGTGCTCACGTATTCCTTCCTTCCTCTCTTGGGCTGGATTCCCTGAGCTCAGCCTGGTGTTTGGTTGTGGATCTCAGGAGCAGATTTTTTGTGTGAGCATAGCTAAGCAAGACGCTTCTTGCTCAGAAATTCCACTTTTAGTTATACTATAAAAATTCCTTTTTAAAAATACTTTTTGGCTGGGGTGGGGGAGGGAAAGAAGAAAGGGATGGGGGATGGGAACGTGAGGGATTGGGTTGGGCAGGTTGGGGGTGGGATGGAGGAGGCAAGTAATGAAAAGTTATCTTAATGGGGGCCATTTTAGGGCTAGGGAAAACCTTGTGCCAAGGAAACTCCTAGGAATCTACAAGGATCACCTAGCAATAGTGGAGAGGGTGCTTGAACCGGCCTTCTCCTGTAATCAGATTGGAAACAGAGTATCCTAACTGTCATCAGTTAGTAACCTAAGTTTATCCAGTCCACATCTGTGGCAGAAGTCCACAGCCGAGCACTGGGCTGAACTCTGGGAGTCCAGTTGAAGAGGGGATGGAGGGATTGTATGAAACAGGGGTGTCAAGGTCATTAAGGAGAACCCACAGAGACAGCTGACCTGAGACAGCTATGGAGCCTACGTGGTACCAGCCTAGGCCCTCTGCATGTGGGTGACAGTTATGCACCCTGGTCTGTTTGTGGGACCCCCTAGTAGTGGGATTAGAACCTGTCCCTTGAGCTGGCTTTTGGGAATCTATTCCCCATGCTGGGATGCCTCAACCAGTCTTGATACAGGATATGCCATATTTTATTGATGCCCGTGGGAGGCCCGCCCCTTTCTGAATGGAGATGGAGGAGGAATGGATGGGGGTGGAATAGATGGGAGGTGAGGGAGTGAACAGGAAGAGAGGAGGGAGGAGAAACTGTGGCTGGTATGTAAAATAAATAAATTAACTAATTAGAAAAGAATACTCTTTGCAGAAGTATTGTAATGGTGAGCAATTGTCGTCTAAATATCCACCAAAAAGAGAACAAATACATCATAGAACGTGCATGTAATGGATCCCTAGTTAAAGTGAAAGTGAATGAGTTACAAAGCTATGCTAACCTTTGCCATAGCGACATCTGCCTGCAAAGAGTGAGCACGTAAATAGTAATAGACAGGGAAGAGGTCCACGGAGCCCAACTCTGCCCAGGGGAGCTGTTGGCACTTGCTGACTGTTGTGGAATAGTAGTTGAAGATGTGTTACATTTGTTCATGCTGTGGAACATTTGTTTTAATGATGCAAAGATGTGTTGCATTCTTTTATGTTGCATTTGTCTAACTGTGAAACTGTGTTACATTGCCTGTTAAAATTCCTAATAATGAGCTGAATGGCCAATAGCAGAGCAGGAGAGGAATAGGCTGGGCTGGCAGGCAGAGAGAATACATAGAAGAGTAAAAAGTTAGAGGAGCAAAAGAAGAGGGGAGAGGACACCAGGGGCCAGGCACTCAGCCCCACAGCCAGACGCCGAGTAAGAAGTAAAGAAGAGGTATAAAGGTAAATCCCAGAGGCAGAAGGTAGATGGGATAATTTACGTTAAGAAAAGCTGGCAAGAAACAAGCCAGCTAAGGTTGAGCATTCATAAAAAAGAAAAAGTCTCTGAGCATCTTAGATGGGATAATTTAAGAAAAGCTGGCAAGAAACAAGCCAAGCTAAGGCTGGGCATTCATAAGAAAGAAAAAGTCTCTGAACATTTATTTGGGAGCTGGGTGGTGGGCTCCCAAAAGAGAAAAGAGTAAACATAACCAACTACAGATGATTGGGGGGTGACAGGAAGTCACTGTCCTTCGTGATGTAGTCACTGAGTCATCACACTCCCATGGATAGCTTTGCACCTATATCT